GATAATTAAACTTCCAAGTATTTTTTCTCCATCTATTGAGAGATAACTGAACTTCTAAGTATTTTTTCTCCATCTATTGAGACAGGAGTCACTAGACTATGGCCCCTGGGCCAGATCCGGCCTGCGAGGTCAGTTCATCCAGCCCACCACTGCACTGTGCTACAAATGAGCTAAAATGACTTAATTAAATTAACGAAGATTTTAATTAAATTCTTAATACTATATTTGCCTATTAAGATTCTTAATATTTTTATTAAATATGATCTTAATTATTATTTATAAAGCTCTTCTAATTAACTTACATAATAAATTCTAAATACATTGGCAAATTATAAAAATTGCTTAATCAAATAACTTATCGGGAAAAACTTTTAAACCAATTGCGTAATAACGTAATTTAATGTCATGAGCTATTTACATGTAGTTTGTCATGTTTATATTCATGTCAAAAACATTTTGAAAAATTATTATTTTTCTAAAACTTTTTTTGGTAGACTAGTCAATGTGGAAATAAACAATTGTTTTTCATTTTCAGATCCTGTTTTCTTCACCCATCATTATGGCTACTACGAAAAGAAAAGTAGATGCTGAGTGTCACCTTTTCAATGAAGAATGGGGAGAAAAGTAGTTCTTTGTGGAAACAAACAACCTGAAAGCTAATTACATGATATGCAACGAAAGCGTTGCCGTTTTGAAAGAGTACACTCTTCGGCATCACTGTGAAACAAAACACCTGTCAACATATTCGAAGTTTTCTGGAAAGTTGCGTTCTGAGAAATTTGAATTCATAAAACGTGCTTCGGAATCTCAAAGGAATCTCTTCACGAGAATGTTTGCCGAAAATGAATCTGTCACTCGTACAAGTTACAAAATAGTGCATAAGATGGCAGAGCGAGGAAAACCGTTTACTGACGGCAACTTCTTCAAAGAGTGTATGATGGAAGCAGCAAATGACTTGTGTCCCGATTTGTTTGGAAGTATCAGCCTTTCAGCAAGTTCATTTGTGCGGAGAACAGAAGAACTTGGAGAGAACATGGTGTTACAGATACGCGAGAAAACTAGGAACTTCTTGTGGTATTCTCTGGTGCTGGATGAATCTACTGATCTCTCGAGTTCATTCGTGGTGTTAATTTGGATTCTCAGATCACAGAAAAGTTGGCATCCGTTTGCAGCATGCACGGAACAACGACTGGAGAAGACATTTTCATGGAAGTGCAGAAAACTTTGCAAGGCTACAACCTTCAGTGGAATCAGCTTCAATGTGTTACAGTTGATGGAGTAAAAACCATGGCTAGAGTGAGGAAGGGTCTGGTAGGGCAGATACGAACTAAGTTGGAAAATCTTCAACTCCCGGGCGCTCTGTTTATACA